TTCTGTAACGGTAGCTCTAAAACTGGTTTTAAAAATTTTATAGAAAGTAGTTGCGCGTATTTGAATTCTATGGCGTAGTGTCCTTTTAATCGGGAAATCCCCGGCAATTCCCGTGCGTGGTTTTTTAACGACAGCCTAAAGCTCATCCATTTCGAGGGGTACGGACAATCAAATTTGTTCTTTAAAAAATCGTCATGTTGAAAAATACGTTAATTAGTAACAACGGTAGGATCATTCCGGGATTTTTTGAGGCATTCGTTCCTGAGCTACGAGATTGTTTAGTGTTACGTGTTCCAAGATTTTAGTTATGTTTCGAGCATAAAACGGCAGATAAATTTGGATCTGGACTACCAGAGCAAGGAGTACGTAGTCACAAAGTAAATTCGTTAACCAAGTGGCTATTGTGAGTGGCTAAACGATGTATATATGTTTTGCACAGACTGCTTGAAAAAGAATTGGAGTAAAGAGCGGAAAAGTGATAGCGTTTTTCATAAATTTAAAAGCAGCGTTTTGCACAGTAAAAAGGGAAAACTATGGAAAATGATGGAGGATGGGACAATAGTTACCTAATAATTTAAAGAACAAGGAGTTGTATTTAGAGACAAGTAAGGCGAAGGTAGGAGGGAAGAAGTTCTGGACATTAAAAAAATTGAGACAGTTCGCCCGAGCTTATTTAACTTAAAAGAGATATGGAGAAAATATAAAGGCAGAGTCCAGGCGGATCAATCGTGAAGAAGGAAGATTTGGTATCTGGCATACGCCTATGGCATAGCAATAAAGGCAACATACCAGAATTAGATGAATGAAATGATGGGAAGATGAGAAAGAAAGGGACCCGAATTAAATGTAGAAAAAATTGAAGATGATGAGGGGATGAAGGAAAAGGGTGGTAGAACAGAAGTGGAGGGAAGAAAGGGTATCCTGAGGGATTAAGAGAATTTAAATACTCAGATGCAACACGATAATATGGGACAAACGAACAAATAAGGGAATTAAGAAAACAATATCAAAGTCCTCGTGTAAAATCGAAGGCACTTCAGTGCTGATCAGTATTCTATTAGCCAGTTTTGATTCCACCATCTTGTCGGGGGCTACCACATTCCGTTTGTCGATACCCACTTTTGACTTTCCTACAATCATTTTGGTGGATTTCGCTAAAGACCATTCACAAAATGGTACGGCATTTCACACAGCTCGAGCTTTTATTGGCGACACAAGAAAGAGAGACCGCGATTTGAGCTTTCATAAACTTTAAACCCCGTGACAAAATTCGCGGCGGAGGGTAACTTTTCAGCGACCGAAGTTGACTACCTCTCGAAGACGTGCGCTTTGCAAAAAAAGGTGGTTAATTTCGCCCTTAGAAACAACATTCCGCCACGCGGGAGTTGTGCGACGACACAACTTTGAAAACAATCGGACTTACTGCTGTAGAAGAAGATAGGAAATAAGTAAAAAATCACCTCGTTAGTAAAGGACCCCCGGGGATGGCGCCCAGATGCCGCTGACCCATAATGCAGTCACGTCTTTCTACAAGCGTTCTTCTACGGGCCCTCATTTGTTGCCTGCCAGCCGGCTAAAGTGAAATGGAAAGCTACTGTTTTACAAATAAATTTGCAAAAATGCGCTTAAAAGGGAGAAGTGGCGATGAAGCAAGTGTGGAGAATAGGAGAGGAAATTAAAAAAACGAGTTCAGAAACACATTTTTGCTGCAATTGTGAGGGGGTTGATGTACGAAAAAGGGGTGTGGAGATGGAATGGCATGAACTAGAAGGAATTCAGAGAAGGTACCACAAATGGGCATTGGGACTAAACGCAAGGACATCAAATTACATCTTAGAGGAAATAAAATGGTGAAGATAAGGACAGAGTCGGGACGTTGGGCGGTAAAATTTGAAGAAATGACAGAAAGAGAAGGTGATTTGGTGAAAGACTATGTTTTAACGAGGATGAACACCAAAGGGGTTTGGTGGGAACAAAGACCAAAAAAATTTAGAAAGAAACGGATGAGCTGAGGTCGAAAGAAGGGGAGAAGTAGGGTAAAAGATAGAAGAACTTGCAAAAATGAATAAAGATGTACAGCAACTAGAGAGAAAATAGAAAATACAGGGACCCTCCTTAATCATTTTAGGGAATTGTAACATTGTTATTCCATTGCGTATAAAGATTGTAATAAAACTTCCCAAATTTATTAGTTAGAATTAAATTAAATTTATTAATAACATGTGGTAGTGTGTACAAAAAAAGATGAATTGTATTTTAAAAAAAGCTACTTTTTGGCACCTTGAACACATAGTTGTTCAGAAATGCTGGTAAGCAAGTGACACTCAATAACGACCGAATAACCTAACTCTTTTAGGTTTTATCTTGTTGTGTTATCTTTTTGTAACCTTATTTGTATATTGCATAATTATCATTAGTTACCAATTAGTAATGAATGAACGTGGTCTAGGAGGTACCAACGTGAGCGGATCAAGTACAGACTACCAGAGTTATTAAAGTTTCTTTAATTAACTTAATCATTCAAGAACATTGACCTGGATTTCGAAAAAAAGTTGTCACGTTAACGCTATTATTCTTGACGTACCTCACCGCGGTCAAGTGGGTCTTCTACGGAATAAGAATATTTCCCATGAAAATTTGTACACAATATCGTTCCCACCTATACCTACTTATGCAGCAAGGAGAACAAAAGTGTACTTTGTTAAAGGTAATTGCGTAATTGTGCATAAATACTTTCTTATGATAATAGCAAGGAAACTCCAAGCACCGTAATGAAACCACTTTATTCATCACACTATTCAATTTTTTTTACTTTTTATGAAACGAGTCTCTTTTTTTTGCAACGGGAGGCCGATGCTGGTTCGACATAGAGTTTCAGTGGACACTCTAATATTTACCTTATTTTGGGCATGCATATATTACCAACCATGCTGTGCATTATATACAGTAAATAATTGTAATCTTACTTAATAACTGTTGTTTGTTAGGGTCTCGGGAAGCTTCATGCAAAATTTGGTTGGTAAATATCTTTTCACTAAGCGACCTCACTACAAAGCATTTGAAGATTCTAGATTAACTAAGAAAGTTGGTCTTCTACGTAAGCTTATAACAAAAAAGCTTGACAATTACTCATCGATGGAGAAATTTGTAAACATAATGGAAGTAACTGTAACTAAGCTAAGCAGTGTTGGTTTGGAAGTTAAGGAACAATGGATTGGAACATTAATGTTGGCTGGTCTTCCAGTTAAGTATCAACCAGTGACGGAGAGTTCAGGTATAGAAATTACCGGGGACTACGTCAAGACAAAGTTACTTCAGGATGTACAAGTAAACTTCAGTGAAAATCAAGGAGCTGCATTTGTTGGGAAACGACTTCATGAAAACTGTGGAGTGTTATTAATAGATGTCATGGATTCGGACATATCAAGTTGAATTGTCCTAAAAAGAAGCTTGACAAGAGGAAAACTGACGGCAAGAACATGCGCTGTGCTATATCAACGTTGAAGTATCCAGTATGATGGCTTAGATTTTTCGTTTTTTGTACAACATGAAAACCAAGAACAATAAACGAGGGGGTTGTAATTTTTGCAGTACCCCAAATATTTGGGTTCCGTTAATTGATTATGTATAAATTGTCCATAAGCAACCCTCCAATTGCACTCTAAGGATAATGTTCCTTTTCGTTTTAAAATTACGAATTTTTTTAGAAAAATTAGACTTATATTTATAGCAATCCTGGATTGTGGGGGTTGTAATTTATGTAGTACATCAAATATTTGGGTGCCGTTAATTGATTATGTATAAATTGTCCATAAGCAACCCTCCAATTGAACTCTAAGGATAATGTTCCTTTTCGTTTTAAAATTACGAATTTGTTTAGAAAATTCAGATTTATATTTATAGCAATCCTGGATTGTGGGGGTTGTAATTTATGTAGTACATCAAATATTTGGGTTCCGTTAATTGATTATGTATAAATTGTCCATAAGCAACCCTACAATTGCACTCTAAGGATAATGTTCCTTTTCGTTTTAAAATTACGAATTTTTTTAGAAAATTCAGACTTATATTTATAGTAATCCTGGATTGTGGGGGTTGTAATTTATGTAGTACATCAAATATTTGGGTTCCGTTAATTGATTATGTATAAATTATCCATAAGCAACCCTCCAATTGCACTCTAAGGATAATGTTCCTTTTCGTTTTAAAATTACGAATTTTTTTAGAAAATTCAGACATATATTATAGTAATCCTGGATTGTGGGGGTTGTAATTTATGTAGTACATCAAATATTTGGGTTCCGTTAATTGATTATGTATAAATTGTCCATAAGCAACCCTACAATTGCACTCTAAGGATAATGTTCCTTTTCGTTTTAAAATTACGAATTTTTTTAGAAAATTCAGACATTATATGTATAGTAATCTTCGATTGCGGGGGTTGTAATTTTTGTAGTGCACCAAATATTTGGGTTTCGTTAATTGATTATGTATAAATTATCCATAAGCAACCCTCCAATTGCACTCTAAGGATAATGTTCCTTTTCGTTTTAAAATTACGAATTTTTTTAGAAAATTCAGACATATATTTATAGTAATCCTGGATTGTGGGGGTTGTAATTTATGTAGTACATCAAATATTTGGTTTCTGTTAATTGATTATGTATAAATTGTCCATAAGCAACCCTACAATTGCACTCTAAGGATAATGTTCCTTTTCGTTTTAAAATTACGAGTTTTTTTAGAAAATTCAGACATATTTATAGTAATCCTGGATTGTGGGGGTTGTAATTTATGTAGTACATCAAATATTTGGGTTCCGTTAATTGATTATGTATAAATTGTCCATAAGCAACCCTACAATTGCACTCTAAGGATAATGTTCCTTTTCGTTTTAAAATTACGAATTTTATTAGAAAATCAGACTTATATTATTTTCTTGTACGATATTTCGATTTTTACAAACAACATGTAGTAAAAGTTACAACAATTTCTGAAAGATACTTTTAAGATGAAGGATATTGGTGAAGTAGATTATATCCTTGGGATGAAAGTTGAGCCTGATAGAGTAGCGGGGAAGGTAAGAGTATTGCTATTCCTATGGATGCAAATTAAAAATTATCCAAGGAGTTTTTCCATTAATGAGATGAAGGAAATATCTTATCAAGCGGCAATTGGCTGTTTAATATATGCAGCACCTGATATTTCTTACGCAATTCGAGCTTAAGTTCAACAAAAATCCAGAGAAAGTTCACTGGGCAGCGGTCAAGCGCGTTTTTCGTTATATCAAAGGAACTTTACACTTTAAGTTTGGGTTCAAGAGAAACGATGAAGACACGAAAGCTTTCACCGACACTGATTGGGCCAACGATTTTGATAATCGACGGTCCACCACTGTTTACAGTTTCTTAATGGAAGTGTCTCATGTTCCAAGAGTTAGGCAAGAAATTGTTTGGTTAAAGAAATTGTCGTCGGAAATTTGTGAGGCAGAAAAAAATGCAGTTCCAGTGGGGATAAAGGAAAGACTCTTTGTTTTTTCAATTAGATCAAGTTAGTTTGAGTTTGTCAGACACCTCACTCCATGATCGTTATTGTTCTTTTGGTAATAAACTTATTAATTACATTAGTAATACGCAGATTTTTGCCATGTAGTTAGGTATAGAAACATACCAGGAAGTCAACATTTTTGAGGAAGTAAGGGAAGTGCGATGTAAAAGGTTTTCCCCTTAGATCACCTTATCTAGAATTGAGAAGAAAAACTACCCCTTCCAATTTGCTGATGATCTTCGCGCACATTACCAAAGCAATTTGTAAGAACTTGAACTGATGACATCAGTGGGAGAGTTCACACCTACCCCTCTTAAACTTTTACTGCTAGTGTTGTGACACTAGCTCTTCATAATTGAATGATGAGAGTTTTTGTAAATAGATGAGGTAACAGTAGCCTTCGGCGGAACGAAGTAGGTCCCATTTCAGACACGTTCAACTCATAAATCTCCAAATCGGCCAATAGGACGTTACCTAACAAATCCTGCCGATTTCCGTTCTTCTCCCAAATCGGAACGACGTTTTCTAATTTATTCAAATCCATTTACGATGCGTAATATGTCACAGTAATACCATTTGATATGAATAACCTTCGCGTGTACATCGTTGCATGGAGCAAAATGTTATATGAAACTGAAAAAACCAACACCGCAACCTTCGCGGATCTAATCAAGATCGGCGATAATGAAACGCATTCGAAAAAATTTTGTTTATACAAAATGTACGCGGAAACTGGGACACTCTGCATACAGGTGCTTGAGGAGGCGGCGTCCAAGAACAATGCAATGATGCAACAAATACCCGGCATACAAATTGTGCCTGCTACCTTCATTAACTTTTCCACGAGTTTAGTTATGCATTAGATCTCGTCGTAAAGCGGCTCTTTTTAGAGTTTTCGAAAAAGTCGCCGACGCCCATTACGCAATTGTAGTAATAACAGAAAACAAACTCGGTGGAACGCCATTAACTTTAAATAATTGTACTAAGGTACAAAGGTGTGTGTGATGTTTTTCAAATTATAAACTCAAGGTCTAAAAGCAGTACAGTTTGTAATACGGTCCTGTAATTAATTAGCCGTGAAGTACCTCAGTTTCCTTTATTAGAAAAACCGTCGCGTACTCTGCCCATAAATAATTAACGGCTCATTAGTTAATAAATGGACGTTATGAAATTGAGAACGGACGTCGGTCGCGTATCCGAAAGTTATGCGGGATTATAAATGAATGTATCGAAGGAACGAACGAGCTCAGCTTCTGTGATATTTTGGCGATGATAGACTTATAGTTAAGGTGTTTAGACTGATAGTGCCATGTTGAATGGTGGTGATCGTAATCGTGGTGGACCCCCATGGTCCAAAAAAGCGTCAAGTTTCGCCACCAAGTCGCGTTTTTTATGTGTCTCAAGTTGTTATTGACCAATCTTTTCTTACGCAGGTGGAGCCGGGGGAGACTTTCGCCACTGTGAAAGAAGGTAAGAATCTTCATTTTTTTAAACACTCACTACCTAAACCATGATTAAAGTATAACGTACAAGGCGTTCAAAAGTAAATAATTTGAAGATTGTTATCAGCCTGGAACTTTCATTTCAATCCAGAGTCAGGAGCTTTTGGTCTATGTAAACTGCACAAAATTTGAGTACCGACATCGCAATGTACATTTTTTGAGTAATTTTGAACAGTTTTTACTCTATAACAACAATATTGTGTTCTTCATTTTCAAGTTATCCGATGTTAAACTAAAAATCTTCTCCTAGATCAAGTCTCTACTATTTCTTGCCTAATCATAGATTTTACTGTGGTGATTCAACTGAAACAGCCCCTTCCAAAACAATGATTGTATCCTTATTAATGGGCGAATGGGAAATCGCACCATAAAATTTGTACCTATAGTCATTCCAAGTAACAATTCTACTAATTCCACATTAAACTCCACTTTTCATCAGTGATACCCACGAGAATCTCGTTTTCGAGAAGTCGAATAGACCAGACTTTGCATTTTCAGGCACTCCGTCGATTCGAAAAATAAGTCTGGTCTCGAATTTTACGAATCATTAGATAAATCCCATTTTAAGAATGCCACAATGTAGGTTTAAAAAAATGGTTTTCTAGTTGACAAAATGATACCCAGAAGCCTTGCCAAGAGCATTAGACCCTCCAACAAAAGAAGATTCAATGATCGTTTCCGAAAAACCCAAAAACCTCCCAGCCAAGGAAGACTTGCTAATTTCCAACAAAATATTAAATATACCGTGTGTCCCAGGTTGAACGCACCAAGTTGGTGATAGACAACATTCCTGCCTCTCCTTCCTATTCTAAACCATTCAGTCTGTTATCACCCACCTTTAGTTCCACCTCCTTCTCTCTCTCCATTCCACACCCTTGTCCCTTAATACTTCTAACATTTTTTTTCTTAATTTCACACAATCGAATGCCTTTTCAGATCTATTAGGCACAGATTTACAGTTCCTCCTCCTTCTATATATCTTTCTCCAATTGTTTTTACCACGGCAATTGCATCCCTCGTTCCCAAACACCTTCGGAATCCAAATTGACCTTTCCCCACTGCCCCCCCCCCCATTATCCTCCTCAACCTCCTATCCAACACCGGCAACAAAATCCTAGCAGCCGCCTTTCTTTGTTCCCTTCTTTTTCTGAAGTGGTTTCATAAAGGTTCTAAGAAAGTCTTCGGCCACACTCTCGTTAATCCTCAGTATCATCATTCCTTCTTCTTCGGAATCCTCTTCTAAATACTTTATTAACTCTACCGGTATCCGTCTATCCCAAAAGCCTTACCATTCTTCATATCTCTTTATTTCTGACATCAAAATATACACCCACCCGTATCTTTTCTTGATACTTCCGATTCTTCCTCTATAATTATTCGTTCAAGCTCTTCGATCGAGCTCTTCTATATCTTTGCATTCATTTAGCAGCCATTTATCTCTCGCCCTTTTAGTTTCGCTTCTTAATTCATTATTCTACGAAAGCGTAGAACGGACAAGGTAGTTCAAATTGTGTAATCCCGAGATATAAGTCGGGATTATACGTAATCCCGAGATATAGGTCGGGATTATACGTAATCACGAGAAATAAGTCGGGATTATACTTAATCCCGAGATATAAGTTGGGTTTATACGTAATCTCGAGATGTAAGTGAGGATTATACATAAGTATAATCCTCACTTAAGTATAATCCTCACTTACATGTCGGGATTGGGTATAATTCCGACTTGTATCTCGGGATTATGTATAATCCTCACTTACATCTTGGGATTAAGTATAATCCCGACTTATATCTCGGGATTAAGTATAACCCTGACTTACATCTCGAGATTACGTATAATCCCGACTTATATCTCGGGATTAAGTATAATCTCGACTTATTTCACGAGATTAAGTACAATCCCGACTTGTAACTCGGGATTAAGTATAATCCCGACTTACATCTCGGGATTACATAATTCACTCAATGAGAAAGTTCATATATTTAGAAAAAAACAACAATTACGGCCGATTTAGTCTAGGAGAATGACATCGCGTAGCAAAACTTCGTTTTTTTTAATTTAGAGAGTTGTCTTGGCTGTTTTTGCCAGATTTTGGGTGTTATTCAGGTGAAAAAACTGTGGCATATCAAGTTATAATATTGCACCAAAGAGCAAAGCACACGATGCCCGAAGGAGAAAATGTCCAATGCTTGGAGGGATTTGGAAAAAACCCACGGAATCATGCACCATGGGGATGAAATCTGGTTAAAAGAGTACCAGAAAAGTTTCGTGCGGCTGGTGAAGGATATGTATGATGGAGCACATACTAGGGAAAGATTAAGTGTTGGACTGATGGATATGTTTCCTGTGGGAGTTTGAGTACATCAGGGATCTGCGCGGAGCAGCTCAAATTTATTTAATATAATAATGGACGTGCTGATGGAGGAAGTACGAGAACACGCCGCTTGGACCAGATGAAGCAAAGAGCAAATGAAAGAAAAGCTAGAAAGATGGAGGCAGGCAGTCGAGGATGGAGGATTCAGGGTTAGGCAGTAGAACAAAAATGGGAAAATTTCGTTTTTTCCCATTTGGCTTCGATTATCTCTTTAACTACTTATAGCTATGAGGGAAAAAACGAATAGACATGAATTTATTTATAATTGAAGTTTCTGTAAGATACAGTTGATCCGAAACGTTCATTTTCAAATGTTATTGTTTTTTTATGGAAAACAGTAATCCCGAAAATTAACAATTTGTTATTACTAAGTAAAATGCATCCGATCGTTTTGAAATTGTGTATTTGGCCACTTCTTTTAATAACAAAACAATATGACAATCCCGATCACCGTAGATTCCATAGTCATTGATTAATTAAATAAACAAATTAAAAAAACGATGCTTTGTTTTTCAAACTGGATCACTCCCAGAACGTTCTCAATTTCTTTACAGATTGTGGAAACTTAAAACCACCAAATTTATCTTCCCTATAAAAATCCACCCCCATCTCACTTCATTGACATCAATAAAGTCCAAATGGGTTCTTAGCATTTCTCGGTTTAGGTTTTCTAGTTTTTCGCCTTGAAGCAGGGTTCTAACATTCCCCGTTCCGAAACTAATCCTATTTCTCTCGTTCTTCTTGAATGCACTTTGACACCACTGCTGGTATAATTACCTAATCTCAGCGTCTTGTTAGAGGATTGTTATGTGTTAATTGTCTAAATGTTGTAAACATTTTAACTCACTACTATTTAGGTAATGTATCAGACTATTAATACACTGTTTGAATTTGCAGAAGAATGGGTTAGCAAAAAAAAGACTGAGGTGACGAACACAAAGCAAATCGAAACTCGAGTCAAACGCCAAGTGGTCTTGGAAGATGGAAAGGTCGTCGAGGATTCCGGTCCAGTGGTCACCACCAACACCACCGAGGATACCGAAACACAGAGTTATCATCAAACCGAGGTAAATTATTTTGATTTTTCACTTGGCCCGTAGAAATTGGTACATGTTTCGCATTTTTAGTTACGCAAACACGGCGACGATGATAAGGATAAGGAAACGGCGGCGCTGGAAAACGGGGGCGAGGAGAAAATTGCAATTTTAGACAAGGCAGTGGCCGTGCCCAATCCGGATGGGCTCGTCAGGGAGGTGAAGGAACGACGTGTTATATCCAGGGAGGAAATTGACGATGTAAAGGAGACTGAAGATGTACAACATTTGGGGGACATAACGGATGAGGTACGTATTCTAGGCAACCCAAATTACACCGCGATCTGTACGTAGCATAAACTTGAAGGAAAAAAGTAGGCGATTTATTACTACCTACCTACTATAATAATCTATTTGAAAGTTAATTGAGTTAAATAATTACACTTACGTAACATGTAATTTATGTTTATATGGTATTTATATTATCAAGATCAAACTATTACTCTTAGCCGTAACTGAACTGCTTATGCCCATGATTAGTATGTATTCAGGTAATAATTATAAATAACTTTCCTGCAGTAATTGCGATAGACCCCTAAACAAGTGCATTTGTTAAAAGAATAAGTCACAGGATTATTGATTTATAAATCGAACCTGTTGAACAGTAATGCCACTATCATCGAATTTCAGATGAAAGTCAAAAGTCTTGATATGGCTAATTTGTTGTTGTTTTGTAGAAAGTTTGCAGTTTTGAAACGTCTAAGCTTTGTAACAGTCCCAATTCGTTTTTTTAAATTACTTTCGTCTTGAGATATTTGACTTTTGGAATGTAGTTTTCGGTGCTTTAATATTTTAAACACCATACAACAGTATATTAAGAAAAAAGTGTATAATCAACGTGCCTTTAAACGCAAGTGCTTTAGAGACCAATAGTCCAATAGACTCGTTTCTTATAGTAATTTTTTATTATACCTGCAAAATAATTTAAAAATAAGAGAAATAAAAGAAAAACCATATTGGCGTTATAGCAAAGAGTAACTAATAATATTCTTTGGTTATAGTCGAATACAGTGCCAATTAAGTGGGCTGAATATTCGTAGTTCCATGATTGTCATCGACTTGGCGTTTACTTATAAAAATCACCGTCTTTGTAAATAACATAACTTCGATTGAAGAAGAAATACACCCTCCATTTAGTGGCTTGTTGCAGAAGCAGAAAAAGTTGGTTACTGAAAAATCCAAAAGCCTATTATGAAGAATATGAAAGGTGGTTGGCGTGGACGAATAGGGAGCATCATTTAAAAAAAGTCTTCGCTGCATCGTTAATGCTGGCACATATGAGGGAAAGACATCTGTTGCATTTCCAGAGAACGAAAGTCCCAGATTATAATTTTTTATGTCATATTTGAAGTAACGTTATCGTGGGAGAGAATACCTATCGGAGAAATTTTCCATTGTCCAAGAAACTTATGCGATAGGTATTCTCGCACGACTAGGGCGTTGTGCACGGGTGCACCATTCTGTTGAAACCAACAGTTTCCAACTTTGTTTTGTTTGTTTGCCGTATATTGTTGTATTCCTAATTTAAAAAATGCTACTCAATACAGTGTGTGTGGATCGAATGGAAATTTCCAATTATCAAAATAGTATCAATTTTTAACCAGGCGATATTGGCAATTTTTGCAACTCTCGAACTTTAGAATAACGAATTCGAACTTTCGAACAACGGATTTTGTAATTAATTACCAGTCTCAGTTATGGGGGTGAACCCTCCCTTCTTTGGAGTAACATCCCGATCTCGCTCTTAACATACATTTTTACGGTGACGTACATACCGAAAGTTTTTCCTTTCCTATTTTTCTGAAAATTGACTTCAAAACCTGCTTTTCTAAATTGTTTTCTCGCAAAATTAAACACAAAGTGACCATACAATTTTGAAAAAAATCAAACAATGAAATAGTTTCAATTTTCAGGTTTCGTATTTACAGCTTTAGCTACGACTTTCAACCCAACTAGATTAATTTTCGTGGCCACCATTTTTGAACTACCCTTAATTCAACGCTTTCAAATTTTCCCAGACGTTGATATCTTTAACAAAACAGCTCTCGTTAATACATTTTTTAAACTTCAATCGATTATAAGTCACGACTATTTTTCTTAAAGAAGCCCTTAATTACATAAATAAAATAACGGTATCTGATTCTTCTTCTACCCAAATCTAAATTTACTTAAAATTTGAAATGATCCAGCATATATTTCAACTACCCCCAAATATCACTAAATTTGAAAAATAAATCCATATTAAAAGCTACCGTTGCAGCATCTTGGGAGAGAGAATTGAAATCATCAAAGTAGTTCAAAACCACCGAAATGAGTCCGAACGGACGGACAGACGGACGGAAGAAACACAAACAATAGTAGATTTTTTTTAGTTCTTAAAAAATGCGCTAAAAATGAATGTGAGAGAAATATGAAAGGGTAAAGGGCAAGGAAGGTGTAAAAGAGGCACAAGAGAGGTGGCGACCACGCGATGTTAAAGAGGCGGGAACAGGAAATGCAAACAGATCTGCGAGGGGTACGAAAAATACCAAATGTCAAAGGAAACGCGACGAAATGTGAAGGAGCGAGGGTGGTTTAAAGTAAGAATGACGGAAGAGAATCGTGGAGAATACGAATAAAGGGGAAGGTAGGCACTGCAGGGGGTGGCTTAAAGAGGTACAAGTGTAGCGTGAAGGTGACAGAAGGGAGGTGTAAAAGAAATCCCGAAGGGTGTTAAAAGACTTACAACCAGCTTACAATAGAGAAGTGGATAGATAAGGGGAGAGATTTGGGTTGAGATTCAGTTGGCGAAAAGAAATCTAGACAAATGATAACTGCGAAAAAGACATGAAAAAGTGCGTAGAAGACGAGTGGTAAAATATAAGCGAAGGAACATTTTCGAATCGAAGACCCGCTCTTGAAATAAAAAATTGAATCTGAGAAGTTTTTTTCGGAACGCTAACAGTAACGGCTGGTTAAACTCATGTTTCTTAGTCGGTGCATTTTGCATTTTGATATTGAACTGATTTTTTCTGTGGGAGTATTTCATACCCCCCGGTGTTACTATATCATTGAAAACGTTCGCCCCTAAGGCGTCTCGTAGTAGTTTTATATAAACGACATTGAATCTTGCTTTCCTGACCAAGATTCCATACCCCACAGACTCCTAGTATTACGCAGGATGGTTCCTTTCCAAAAATTACAGTGGAAGTGCTATGGGCACTATACGTTGTGAGGAAGAACGTAAAACCTGGATGTCTGGGGGTATGGAATACATGATTTTGGTACGTGTAGGGAAGAGAACATTGAATCATTCTCTTTTTTCTTGGAGGGTGTCCCATACCCCCCCAAACCCACCGATGTTGTCATCGAAAACGTTCAGCCCTCAGGAGCACTAGGTTTAAGAGAAATTGTCGATCGGGCCAATTAAGTATCATTAAATCAATCGATTAAACCGATTCATACTTTCTTAATAACTGGAATAATGAAAATATTCCTCTCTGCAGGAACTCGATGCTTGAGCAAGTTTTGAAAACCTCCGGAGAGTGAAGTGGGTCAAAAGGAATCATACTATTAGTCAGAAGTGGATCGATCACAACACTCTTTGGCTGTTAAACAGTAGTTCAATGGTAGTAAAATGAAGGGCAGACAATGTGCAATAAAACGGCCAGCATGATCATGCGATTTCTTGGGTCCATTTAAAAACAGTACTAAGAGTCTCATTATAAACCGAGGTGAATGTGGTGGACTTTCTTCAAAACTGCGAATTGTGTATGGTGTATCGTTTTAGGTTAATGTGCAAGTATGTAGTTGACAGATGTTGCCCACTATTCGGAAGCAACAATCTGAATGACTCTTCAGTTTCTTTTGATTGGCACCGGTTGAAGAAAGAAACTGCGATTCTAATTACCAATTATGTAATATTATGCTGAATTGAAAGGCACATTTTATCTGCCCCCATTTCATCACTCACTTGGTCTCTTTTCCTACGCAAATGGCGGAAATTTGTGTTCGTATCTTCCCGATTTTCGATTTCTGGAATAGTGTGATATTTTTTAATCATAAAATGAACTGGACTCTCACCGTCTATTCACAGTTTTGTAGTCGGCAGTATAAAGTTCATGAAATCTGTGCCAAAACAATTTATTTCATGTACCTAATTAAACATCGGCGCGTTATAAATAATTGCTTCAGATCGATTCGTCAGCCGCAAATCCACCGGGATAAAATGCGACCTTGCCGTTTTGGAACTAACCGGATTAACCTTATTTTCACAATGCCCGTTATTTGTTAATTTTAATTCAACGGATTTGTTATAAGCAGGTACGAAAGCTGCGTTTTATTATTGCCGTGAGATTCTTTAGATATTTATTTATACGGACGTGCTGTTTGTTATGAAATGCTGGATGCGGGCCTTCTAAGAATGTACGTGACGGCGTTGCGGAATTTTAAATGAAAATTTTGAAATTTTATTCCTTTCTTATAGATTGTTTCGTATTAATTGTATTGCACGTTCAAATAATAGTTTCCATTTGAAAGTGTGGCCTAGAGAGAAATAGTATTTTTACCTTTAATGTAATTTTCAGGACAAATGTTTGACTGTGGGGCTTAGATCTTAACGGTATTGCTTTTATTTAGAAGAGAAAAAATTTCATGCAAATAGTTATAGTGGTAAAATTTGAGATACTTATTAGGAATGGTAAAATAATTCAGTAGAAAATATTTGTCACTCGTTATACGAGGTGTAGAGAACAGTCTCCAATAACTCTCCCTTCTCCCAAAAAGACATCTACACTTACACGTACAATTTAAAGCATGTATCGGAAAAGCAGACATTTTCCTAATGAAGTTGAAACCTTCTCCAAGTTCAAGTTCAAATCTCGAGGGGTATAGACTCATTACTGTCTTTAGCATTCATTGGAGATGCAGATGAAGCTCAACTGTGGTACTGAGGTCCCTAGTTCGAATCCGGGTTCTTGTAAATATTTGTAAATGTGTGGGGTTGGTTGAAATCATACCCATTTAAAAATTCAAAGATAAAGTAGTGGAAAATCATTTTTCCGTCTTCGACAGCTAGTAAATTTCACTCCACCTCCACTCAATCTCACTTAATTAATGACACCCGCAAAATGGCGAATTATCACCCCAGGCGGTCATTTCTAATCGTTCACTTGCTACTGTATTACTGCACTACCAATTACATATGATTCACGGTCGTTAATCAACATCCCACACACAAAGTTGCAAGATTGTTTTTCCCAATCCGAGTTATCGCAGCTGTAACTCAATACACCCAATCGAAACAATAGAATATGAGCTAGGCCCTAGCTATATCTTGTCACTCCTGCATCCGAAATCTATTAGACAACAAAGATTCATTGAATTGAAATACGCAGCAAGGACAAACGGTTTATAAATCTCATTATGAACATTCCTTATTGGGAAATCGGCCCTATAAATTTTGACAACCTGTATTTAAACTACTCTACCCTTAAAAACCCAAAACTTCACAACGAAATTTCGACAAAATTTAAATTCAAATCTATAGCTACCGTTACATAGCTCCAATAATAAGCAAGCTTTTAGTATAGTATACGCTGTATTTAATATTTTTTGGCGTTCTCCACTTAAAAGACAAATAGATAGCGTCTGAAGCGGATAAATTTGAGGGAAGTACGGGGTATATCGTGGGTTTTGTCTTTGCGACCTCTATTACGACGTATATTCTCTGACTTTTGGAATTTAGCCGCCATCCTGTTACAAATTGCGCAAGCCAAAAGCTAGATGTGCTAGCAGTTATATGACTCACAACAAATTACATATGTTCCGCTCCTTAAGTATCGAGTATTATAAACAGGGTGCCCATTATGTATGAAATATACAATATATTTCGGTAATTAACGACTGTATTATACAATTTTTATCGTGACATTTTATTCTTCATAATAAGGCAGCATTCAGCTGTTTTTATTTTAAAAAACAATGAAAAAAATGAATAATGAAAAACAATTGAATTTTTTTAAATAGCAATGTACCCTTTTAGTAGGCTCATTTAATAGAGATTATTTTCCTCTTTTGACATGATAGTACCTACAAAGAAATTGCCCAAAAAAATTAAAACACTATTAAGTAATTACATCAATAACACTAATGTAGATGAAATTTGTCTCCATATCCACTCAGTTCATGGAGTAATTAAGGTAGATGTCCGATTAATTAGAATCTTTCTTTACATCTACCTTAATTATTCCATTAATCTAGACCTCAACTGCAGTCAACATACGAATTAATTAACAACTCTAACACTTGGATTATCCTGGCAGTCAAAAACCTGAATCAATCCCAAAAAAATCTCCCCTAAAACTAATTCCACTATTACTTTTACTAAGTACTGCCCCATTTTCATATCACGTGTAATAAATAAGTCCACTATGTCTTTAATTGTGCGAATTGGAATCGTTATATTCCCAAAAGCATCTTGAT